ATGGTTCTAATCTTAGGTATCTATTTTAAATCCTGGGAGATTATAAAATCCAAAAACCTGAAGGACTCTACTATTGATACCGTGCTGACTAATATAGTAAGAGGTGGTAGAATAGAAGGGCTCCTCCTAAAATCCATTCTCATCTCTACAGTTGTAAGCATGTTCAGATTATTCCATCTGCACCATAGGGCTAGTTGTTCAATCCTATGCAAATTCAACACTTCTTGAATGAGATTGGTTGTTGTAGCATCTGCAAACATCAGTACTTTAATAGAAGGTATGTAATGTGTAGAAGGTAATGTGTAGCCACATCCCCTGCAACACCACCATAGTCATTTGATCAATACTCCTTGTTAACTTCCAACAAGCAGTCAATGAGGAAGCTTGCAGGAAATCTGAACCCACTCTCACTACTTTTTCGCCTGGCTGTGGTCATTTGGTTTATTGGTTTAGGTAAGAAAATATCTCTGAAACCATGACCCAATGCATCTTTGGTTTTCTAGTGTGATATAATTTGCAAAACTCAAATTAGAAATAAAAAATAAAAATACTTAAATACTTAATCATTGCATTTTAATACTACTTTGCAATAGTGTAAGAGAACATGATACTCGGTTGTAAAATAGAGTAATATAAAATTAAGTTTAAAATTAAATATATCCTTTTGTTTCTAGTGAGGTTGAGTTATATATATATCTTGTTTCACAATCCATTTCTTACTGATAAGATATTCTTAAAAGTGATATCATCATTACTTTCTGCAAGAAAAATATGAAATGGAGAATTTCTGTAGCTTGCTTAGAAATTGGATTTAGAAGTCGAATTAAATACAGGTGACAAATGTCATAATAAAAGTAACAGTACAACCCAAGGTGGCAACAGTTTCAGATTTTGCCAGAAATGGGCTAAAAGCTTCTCTTAAACGTCTGAAATTTTGGCATCTTTTTTCCTCTCAATTTTTTTCAGACTATTCATTCTTATCTGCTTTAAGCTACAATAACTATAAGCATACAGTATTACTCAAATGACTTATGGGGCAGCCAAGCCAAATATTTTCCAAGGAAGTTTGTATTCAAACTGTAATTATTCACATCCAGTGTGTGCTCCCCAGAAAAGATATAAAGTGAAATACTGTAAAAATGGCTATGTTTTATCTCTAGTTGGAACAAACCCTTGTGAATACAAGTGCTGAAAACAGCTGTTTTAAGCTCAGAAACTTTCATGATCAGAATTTTTTTTGCTGATTTAATAAAAATCTTAAGTCAGAAAAAGAGTTTAGTTTAGTGTCTTATCACAAAGTAATTTTTCTACCTTTTGCCAGACAGCTGATTTGCTGCTAAAGATGGTCTTTTGGCTGCACATAGCTTTCTAGATTTGAATGATCCAAAATGACCCTTGGACAAATGTGGACTTACCTGAAGAGGAATCTTGATTATTGCAATTTTGGATAGGAGTGGCCAGAGCATTGGGTCTCCACCATTTCCTTTCAGTTATCTATTTTTTTAAACCTGCCTTTGTTTTAACCCCACATTTTGATACTTTTTCCTTTTGACCTTTAGTTTCAAATATTAATTGACTGGTTGAATGCTGAATTATTCTAAGCCCTTGCTGGTATTTAAAATAGATTCTCTGTACTTTCTCTTATTACTTGACAGCTGTTTTAAACCATTTTCATTTTCTCCACATGGAAGTGCATGGCAATTCTCTAGGTCAGTGTTTCTCAACCTTGACAATTTTAAGGCATGTGGACTTCCAGAATTCCACAGCCAGCAATGCTGGCTGTGGAATTCTGGGAGTTGAAGTCCACATGCCTTAAAATTGTCAAGGTTGAGAAACACTGCTCTAGATAGTAAAAGGGATTGGAAATAATTTGCATTTGTACTGGACTTTCACTACAGGAATTTCATATTTTATTAATTTTTAAAAGCTCTGGTCTTCTGGTTTTTAATTTTTGATTTTTGCTTATATTTTTTACTGTGGAAAAGATTTTTTTCAACCTTCTCTGAGCTCCTTTGTCATGGTGCCTCTGCTGCCTTTCAGAATTCTTTATAACTCGCTGTAAAAACTCAGCTACAGAAGAACCTTGGATTAAAAAAATGCAAACAATAAATCAACTTAAAGACAAAGTCCTTTGTAAAGCTTTCAAAAACAAAATACTTTTCAATTTACAAGCCATAATTGAAACTTTAGTTTAAAAGTTTGATAAATTAACAATGGTTTTAAATCCACCTAAGGATGATCAGTAACAACAACAATTATCAAGTCAGATTTACACTGGATGGGTTAGAATTTAATTTGCTGCTAGCAGAGCTGAAGAAGGAGCCCAGTTTGAATGCGGGCTGCTTGGAGAAAGCTGAAGGGGCTATGGATCTTAAAGATTCAAAGCTGCCAAAATTGATGACTGATGAAATGGATTCTTTCAAGAAGATTGATGGAGATAGGGGAGTAGAATTATTATATTTAACTAGAAAATAAATATTAAGAGACATGTCTCAACCTACAGTAGGGCCTATGACTTTGGAAATGAGAAGCAATTGTTCAGAAAGATCTTAATTAAAATTTTAAGGAAATTTATTATTAATAATAAACAAAGATAATGGATCAGAGACAATGTTTGTGATGTGTGGTAGATAAGAAGCTGTTGTAGACCTACAAGTTAAATCAGTAACAGATTGTTAACAGAGGGTTTTAAAATTTAACTTCACTGTTAGATTACCAGTTAACTACATTTTTATACACAGTAGATAGATAGCAGGTCAACTGGTTGCAAATACAAAAGACCCTTTACTCCTTTCTCCAAAATACACCTGAAGACAAGGAAGAAGATTCTAGAAAATGGAACAGAGAGCGGGTGGGGGAAATATCTAGAGAATGTGGATGGGCGGAGTCCCCCCCCCAAATACTTTACCTAAATTGTCTTTCTTATGCCAAGCAACTTTCACAAAAAGAGAAAGAAAATTCTTGGGTGATTTAATTGCCCTGGCCTGGAAAGTTGCTTGCCAAAGAAAGAAAGCGAGAGTTAGTCTTAAAAAACAGAGGATTTGACCTATCAGAGGGGGCACTATCTGTCTGAATATGATTAAAAGAACGGATGACTCTTAGATATAACTAGATTTTTATAATGGAAGATATTATTTAGAATTAAAATAGCATTTTATTTCTTTTGATATGGAAAATTTAAAATAAGAGAAGGATTGGTATGAATAAATTTTTTTAGCTATATAAATGTAATTAATATTGAGAGAATCATAACTGACAAAATACTTTAAATATTGATGGGAAAAACAGGATATTGACTTATGAATTGATATTATTGTTATTTATATAATATTATTAAAATATGATGCAGATATCTAATTCTGTATACATTAATAGTACTAAGAATTGTAATTGTTTAATGAGGGGGAAATTTGCTGTAGCATAGAGAGTACTTCCTTCTAAAAAGTATTTGTTTTTTCTTGAGGCATCATTCCTAGAAATCCTCTAGTATCACCAATCTCAGTAAGAATGGAACAAAATTTCCTCTAGTTTCCTGATCTTTATATATAACCTTTATAATCCAGTCTTAATAGCAATATTTTATAGTGATCCTTTGTCTCAAATACCCTGAAAATTATCAATCAGGCAAGGCTGTAATCCACAATGTTCCAAATTTCAAAATGTTCAACCTCTCTGCAGCCAGACATATTCAAAAGTCAATTTTTTCTTTCTCTCCCACTAGGTCTTGAGATTAAAAGTCCAAGCTCAGTAGGTATTTATAGTCCATGAAGGATGATTAATATTTTCCTTTATTGCCAGCTGTTCTCCCTTAAGCTGAAAGTCACCAAGCAGCCAAGAAGCTAGTTATAGTGCTATACTCAAATCCACCACTGGATGTCATTCAAAATCCATTTTCCAAAGGGTTGATTTCTTATATTTCACCTCAATAGTTTTTTTTTCCAAAGAGAAAATCTTAACAATTATCTCAGTTCTCAGATTTACCAAAACTGTAGCTTTGTATTACTTTCACTTCAGTATTGTGTATTTCTGTCCCCTGTAAAAAAATTAAAATGCTGCTTCCGTTCACATCTGGAGGTTTTAAGCTTCTTGGGAGCCTTTCCCAGGAAAATCAGTTGTAAAATAGTAAAGAAAGGATCAGTATTCTCACACAGTCCAAATATGCTGTTTACAATGTGCTAATTAAAGCTTTTGTTTTTCAATTGTCAGCAGCTAATGGCTGGCCGCAGAAATGTGGCCAGTCTTTCTCCTGCTGGTTTAGAGGGCTTTCCTTGGATCAAACAGAGAGACCACCACCTCTCAGTGATCTACAAGGCATCCCTTCTTCATCACCTCTTTAGGCGACTTTAGGCCCTTTTCAAGGCCCCCAGCAGGGCGAAATCGGGTGAGGAAGGCAGAGCTCTGCCTTCCTGCGTCCTGTTTTACCAAGATACAATTTTTTCACCACGACACACAATTTTTTACTAATATGCTTTGTCTAGTTTTGTTTTTCTGAAGTTTTTTGAAGTTTGTATTTTAATTTTCTGAATAAAATAAAAATTTATGAGGAAAAATAGTTTAGTTTTTTTAAACAAAACATTTTTTAAAGAAAAAAGCTGTAATGATTAAAGATGATGAGGTGAAAACCAATGATATCCAGACCAGACAGATCTATTATATGGACTTTGTTGTCGAGGCCAAAATAATAATAATAATCGAAAGGTTTTTTTATTTAAAACTGAAAGGAAATTAAGGTTGAATCCTTGGGGCTGACATTTATGCGTTAGGCTCCTATATATTTACCAAATGATTGTTGTATCTGTATTAAAAAAACTTTAATAGTAAAAATCCTTGAAATATCTGCTGTTACCTAGTTTTTTAGAGATTTTAGAATTAAAACTGCTTGGTCTAATCTTTGATAGAAGTCTAAAATCAGGGTAGATTTTTTTTAAAAAGGATTCTAATGTTAGTTGTTGTTTTTCCTGAATGGAACCTGAATATATTTTTTTATTGTTTATCTTCAGGCAATGAAAAGCATAATCTTCAGGTTGATTCTCAGGAAGATAGTCAACCAACAGTACATGATTTGGCTTTACTAACTGAGCAAGTAACTGGAGTTCCAGTTTCTTTTCAGAAACTGATATATAGGGGTAAGTATAACTTCCATGTATATTCAGGCATAAATCCTGTTAAGTTCTATCCAGATTACTCCCTGATATAGAATTGTAAACAAAGTGCTTTCTGTATTTAGTATTAAATATGTGGAAAACTGTGATAGTTAAAATAATTTCATATTTTATTATCTGTGGGTTGATTTTAAAATCATATACAATTATTTTATTGTTATTGAGGAAAATACGTAAGAGATTTTGACATAGAAATGTTTTCATAATATTTCATATCAACTTTTTTACTTAGGAATAGTTGAAAAATAAGGATATGTATATTAACAAAAATATCAGTAATAGTCAAGAATGATGGAAACCATTCCAAACTATTTCACTTGCTTTCTGTTTTTAATAATGTTAAAGAAAATTAAAATTTAAAATATTTTTAAAATTTGAAATAAAATTGAAATGTTAAGATAATTTCTAAACCGCTTATTTGATGGATTGAAAAAAACTTAATACAAAAATTATTTTGATTTAAAATATTGTGGTGGGGGAAAAATTTTGTAAAACATTTCATTCCTATAATGATAGTTCATGCATTTTTGAAGGAATCTGAGCTTAAAGCAGACTTGCTTTGAGCTCAGCATGCCTCCAAAATGCTACCTCCTTCCTGCCCCACTCCCCAAAGCAGTAGTCTTGCATTTGGGGCAAGAGGTTAATAATTTTATTGGAAACAGATTGCACTTAAGTTTTTATTGACATATACCATATATACGAAGTATAATATATTTTTTTTAAATAAAGTTGTTTCACACATTTTGAGTACATTTAAAACTTTATTTTTGTTTTGGTTTGTTGAATTTCCCAAAATGAACTTGAGGATTTGGTTATTCTTTTTCTATTAGGAAAGTCATTGAAAGAAATGGAACAACCATTGTCAACGCTTGGAGTGAAAAATGGTTGTAAAGTTATGCTGATTGGGAAAAGGGTAACTGTTTTTATGAAGTCTATATTGAATTTTGCAAATCAATGACATTGGTGAATATCCATTACGCGATAAGTATAGAATGGCATTGTATTCTAGTCTGTTTTTGGAACTCTTATATAATTTTATTTCATTTTATGTCGTCAAGGAATTAAAGGAACAATAAAAAAATTTAATTCTGCAATTTTTGCTCTTCCATTCAAACCCAAATACTTGCATAACTTCCACCAAACGATTTTGGTTTGGTTATGGCAGTATAATTGGACTCACACATTGTTTAGACTTGTGGTTTGTTCTTGCCATGTGTTGAATAAACCAGAGTGGCATGGTTCACATAATATAGGAAGTAAGAACCTAATAAATTACGTTAATAACTTAATATATTGATGAAATGTGAAACAATTCAATTAATGGAAAACTGTTTTACAGTACAAGAAAACCAATAAATAATCAAGATACAGCTTTTAGGGAGGCTTACAAAATCAAAATGTCCCTTATATAATTTTGTGCATCTATTAAACACACGCATTAAGACATCTTGTTGATCTTGGCCATGCGCTCTAGATCTATCCTTACATGAAGAAGAGTGTAGTCCCTGCTACTATCACTATTACTACTACTACCATTACTACTAGCAGCAAGCTTATAGGGCCTGTTCCTGGCTGTGATGTTGCATTGATGTGGGGTAAGGAATGCATCAGCCTCTCATCGTTCTCTGACTGGGTATTAAATTATTTCTTGTTATGCTCTTGCCCTACATCTAGTCAAGCTGCTGCTCTACATTTGGTAGTTACTGTATTGTTGTATTTGAAATTGATAACACCTTTGTTTATTTCTGCTATTTAATAAATTAATGTTTAATGGTATACTGTAGTACTCTTCATGTTTGTCTCATTTTATGAAAGAGCTTCTGTACTGCAGTCCTTAAGCTAATGAGCTAGGCCACGGGCCAGATGCATCATAGCGAAACCGTGCCCACCCCATTGCCAGTAATGGCAAGAAGTCGCGATACGTCGTGACACATCACATGACGTTGCAAGTTTGACACCCCTGAGTTAGGCCATATTTTGCACTTAAGACAAACTGAATTTGAAATATCTAACTAAAGTTAATTAATTAAAAATAAAGTATAATTAAATTTAACATTGAAGGTTAAATTAAAATTAAATTATTTTTAATTAAAACCTTTTTATTAAATTTAAATAAATTTAAATAATTTAAAGTTAAGAAATTACAGAAAAATATCCTAAAATCTACTGATTTTCCTGCAATATTGACTTAGAAACTGCAATTTTATGAACAGAGCTCTTTTAATCCAGTCTTCATTTCAGTGGTACAGTTTATTCACTATAGGAAATCCTCAATTTATGACCACAATTGTGACCAGAGTTTCCATTGCTAAGCAAGGCAGTTGTTTTTTCTTTTATACATAATTTTATTAAACTTATAAAAGTATAACATACATATGAAAAAGAAAATAGACAAAAAACGGAAAGGGTGAAAAGGGGGGAATGAACTAGCATAAAGGAGAAAAAAATGTTACTTTTTTCAGTGCAGTAGAATAAAAACAATAACATAGCAGCCTCAACTTTATACTTTTGCATACCTAATATGTATTAGCCATTTCTATAACAACAAACTTGTCTCAGCCGCAAATCTCAGAATCAGAGCTTCATTTTTTTTCTATTTCAAACACAAAATTCAGAAGTGGTTTCCAAGTAAAAATAGATGTATTCTTTGATTAAAATAGATAGTTTGGCCATCTCTGCTACTTCCATAAGTTTTTTCAGCCATTCTTCAATTGTAAGAATAAGTATCGAAAGTTCTTCAGTGACATGATAGCAGTCTTCCAGTACTTGAGGGATTGTCACAGAGAAGAGGGAATCAACCTATTCTTCACAGCACCTAAAGGCAGGATAAGAACAATGGAATGGAGATTGTTAAAGAGAAATTGAACCTAGAATTAAGGAGAAATCTCCTGTCAGTAAGAACAATTAATCAGTGGAATGGCTTGTCTCCAAAAGTTGTGTGTGCTCTATCACTGGAGATTTTAAAAAAGAAATTGAACAACCATTTGTCTGAAATGGTATAGGGCAGTGATGGCGAACCTTTTAGAAACCAAGTGCCCAATAATTGTACCCGCTCCGCCCCACGCCTGCCCAAAGGGCCACCCACTGTCTCCATGGCCTGCTGCAGATTGCCCAGGCAGCCCAGCAAGTCATGGCAGCCACACCCTATGCCCGCGGCCCGCAGCATTAACTGCGGGCAATGGGGCATGAGGGTGGGGTCTTGTCCCTGCTGCCCAACTGCCATGTCCCTGGCTGCACTGCTCTGTGCGGGCTGCACTCGGTGGTGACTCTCTGGGGGGGCTGCTGGTGAGGGGGAGGCAGGGGGAGACGGGACTGGGGTGACAGTGCACATGCCCATAGAGAGGGCCCTGAGTGCTGCCTCTAGCATGCTTGCCATAGGTTCGCCATCACTGGTATAGGGCAGGGGTCTCCAAGCTGAGGTCTGTTGGCCACTGGGCTGTGGGAATAGCTGGAAAATAAGTGCATGTGTGCATACAGCCCTCCACTTGTGCTAGCGGCTTGTTTGCGCATGCACAGGAGTGCTAGCGCTTCCACCAGTGTAATACGGGTACTAGCGGCCCATTTGCATATCCATGTGGGCACTACCAGCCCGTTTGCAGACACATACATGCGCCATCTCTGCTACTAGCCCCGCTGCGGGTGTGCGTGGCTTGCTTGCACATGTGCGTGGGTGCTAGTGCTCCCACCGTGCGCATGCCCATTTGGTAAGATTTCTCAATTACTGAGATTCTGTCCAATGAGGATAATTGTAAATTGTCCCATCTTAATAAGGTTTTTTTTTAATATCACTCCAAACGGACACAAATTTGTTTTTTAGAATTTGTATTTGTCAGAGTAACCACAAGATACTTAACCTTTTTCTTCACCTTGAAAATTGTCATTCTTGCCAATATTTTATAATCTGAAAAAGCTATCTTCTTGAGAAGCATTGTTTTTTTCTATTTGAGGGTTAGTAGGCTTCAAAATAAAGTCATATAACTTTTTCAACAAATATTCTATACAGGTTTTGGTTTTGCAGAAATAAAAGTAGATCATCAGCAAAGATTATCAACTTTCTTTTTAATTTTTATACACATTATTTTCTCCTTATGACTAAATATCTTTAGTAAAAACTTCACACACTAATATAAACAACAAAGGAGATAAGGGACATTGTTGTCTCACGCTTTCTTGAATTTCACATGGTTTGATTAAATCTCCATTATTAATGTTATTTGTTTGCTGTGATGTGTATATTGCTTTAATCCCTTGAATAAATTTCTCTCCAAAATACAAGACAAAATACAAATGTAAAGAGCCAGTTTAAGTTGTCAAAGGCATTCACCACAAACAGAAATATTAAATATTGGTTCTTATTGCAATATTGTAAGTAATCAATAACATTCAAAACAGTTCTCAAATTGTCTCTCAATTGGCAGAAAGCCAGATTGGTCTTCATGAATATAAGGCTGTAGAACTTTCTTCAGTCTTTCTGCCAAAATTGAAATAAAGTTTTATACTTATTCTTCAATAATGAAATTGGTGTATAATTTTTATCCTCAAAGCATCTTTCCCTCATTGATAATGCCACTATGTTGGTTTCTTTCCAAGTTGGAAGAATCTTTGCTTCTTGTAATAGACAATTCATTTATATATTTTAATGGCTGTAGGAATGATTCTCAAAACATTTATAAAATTGGCTTGTGGGACCTTGTGGATGTGGAACTTTGCCTATTTTCATTTTTTGTAAACAGTTTCTGATATTTCAAAGGTGGTTCATTCATAAGTTGTCTCTAAGCTTGTGAGAGCTTATGTAAATGTTTTGTAGATATGCATCTATTTTTTGTGTGTCTTTTTCTGTTTCTTATAAAAAATTGGAAAAGAAATTATAAAACAACTTTTTAATAAGGTCTTTGTCTCCTTGGATTTTCTCTATGATTTTCCTTTTCCTTTCTCAGGTTATATGCCAATCAAACTTCTGGTTAATTTACAAATTCAAAAGGTTTTTGCTTCACATAATTCAGTTTAGTTTCTTGGACTGTTAACATAGACTGTTGGCATAGGAATTTAATTTGATGTAGGATTTTAGAATCCATTGGTGCTTTTTTGCAATGCAATCCTTTTGTTTCTAATTTCATTCAGTATCTTTTGCATTTTTTTTTTGAGATTTCTGCTCTAAATGGTTTTAATGTTTAACGTGACCTCTTGTGACTTCATCACTAGCATCCCAAACAATAATTACATTTGTCCTTTTGTTCAAGTTATTGTCAAAATCAGGGGTCCTCAAACTTTTTAAACAGGGAGCCAATTTATTGTCCCTCAGACTGTTGGGGGGGCGGACTATAGTTTGAAAAAAAATAATGACTATAGAACAATGTAAAATCAAGTATAAAATGAAAAAATGAAACAAGAAAAATAAATTGGTTAATTATTTGAATGAGTTTTTAAGTGAAGAAAATATACAACATTTCCAGTGAATCCACATATGTTTTCTTTGGGAATGCAGCTGCTGTTTTTTCCTCAAATAGTTTTTGAGTTGTGGGTAGATGGCAGAAGCTTTCCTCCCTCACTTGTTTAATGAGTATGTCCAATTTTACTTCAAATGCTTTCACATATGAATGCATGTCACAGATGAGCTTCCCCTTTCCTTGAAGTTGCACATTGAAACTGTTGAGTAGCTATGTTACATCTGTCAGAAAGGCAAGGTGCCATTTCCATTCAGCATTTCTTGCAGACGCCTCATGACCCAAACTAGGTAACATTAGCAATGCCAGAATAGAGGGGGTTTGTGGAATGGAGGAGGAGAAGGAGGGCAGCAGTGGAGTCCTTGGCGCTCTCTGAGTTTGGTGGCTTTTTTGCAGACGTTTCATGACCCAAACTAGGTAACAACCGCAGTGCCAGAAGAGAGCAGGGTTTATGGAGTATAGGAGAAGG